TGGATAGAAGCTCTAGTGAAGTTTAGTGAGGTCTAGTGAAATTTAATAAATCAAAAAAGCATATATTAGATTATAAAGTTGATCTACATCAGCAAATATTGCACAATAATTTACGAAGTATAAAAAAACCATAATATTACGTAATAACTTTTGCAATATTAAATTACGAAATATTACATAAGATTATTACGCAATATTACACAAAAAATTGCACAATATTATGTAAAATAATTCAAAATAATTCGAAACAGATTAAGATAAATTACTATGAACTAAGAGTGAGTACAATAATTTGAAATAATTTGAATTATATTAAAAATGTTTGATATAATTAAAAATAATTAAAATTAAAGAGCTAATATTTTTAATTAATAATCTTCCAGTTAATTGAAGAATAATTATAGTAAAATGTAACTCAGATTACTATATAAATTTACTATAGTGCGAATATAGCAATCACCCAAGGTAAACTTTTTTCATACTAAGTTAATCATCTTTCTTGCTTAAGAGACTTTTGTAAAGCTTGTCAAAATACATCTAATAGTAGTTAGAATATCAAAATCAGCCTGGTGGATGCTGAGATATTGTAACCAAAATATTCAGTTATGGGTTAGGTTTAGGTCTTTGTTAGAAGAGATTCAAAATGAAGAGGCTTTTATTTAGATAGTTTTTAGAACATGATAGCAGATTATATCTCTTCAAGAAACCAATTTACATCTCTTTTATAATTCTTTTATGAATAACTAACTATTCTAAATAAATCTTTAAACTATTTACTGGCCCTGTTATGCAAAACAATTTTATGCATAACGATCATATACGTAATGAATTATGCATAACGAATTTATACATAACGAAAATAATAACTAGCAAATAAATAAATAAATAAATAAAGAAAATCTATACTAAGAAAAATAATTTAGTAGTAGCCGTATGTAGTACATGAGATTATGTGACTACTGCGATGTTATACACGAAAATACCACTCTGTTACACTTCCTCCTCCTTCAAAAATGTAAGGTTCTCCGAGCATAATTAACTAGTAAGTATGAAATTCTAAACTTCTATATAAAAAATAAAATAAAAATAAACTAATTCTATTCAGAGATTTTAGGTTCCTTGGTGTACCCATAACCAGAAACAGAAATTTTAAACTGGATAACCCCACAACTAAAAAAAAAAAAAACTTAGGAGTTTTAAACAGGATGACTCCATAACTAAAAAAAAATTTCAATCTTCATTCATGGCTATCCGCACCATAGCATTCTTCATCCTTAGCTATCCATATCATAGCATCATTCCTCCTTAGCTATCTACACTATAGCATCTTTCATCCTTAGCTATCCGCACCGTAGTATCATGCGTAGGTCTTATTCCTCGCCAGACCAGGCTTTATCATTACGCCTTACAAATATGTACATATACAAAAAAAACAATTTGTCAAAAACTATAATATCTAACAAAATAAAAAAAATAATAATAAAAAAAAAATAATATCTAAAAATTTATTGTTTAAAATATAGTGTAAAAAAAAAAAATAATATAAAACTTCACATTTGGAATTAGAAGTATTTAAGTATCATTAAACTATTTATTTATTCTTTAGACCAGGTCGATTTCTAAATTCTCTAGAACTATACCAAAATTAGATGGTATTTCTTTCGTTTTGACTTTGACGTCACCCATATGATCATCAGATTATCGATTGATGATCCACTTGTACTATCTACTAATCTTTAAATTTCTTTCTTTTTCTTTCTGTCTCCTTTCATACTTGCACATTTTAGATTACTACTATACGCTTATTTCCACTTGTAACTTTGCTTTTTAACTTTTTCTAATGATCTTGATGAGATCTTTTACTTTCGGACGTGTCTTAAGAGATCTTTGGGTAAAGTCTTCTGCACTTTTTTGGTTTTGGTTTATTTTTTTTATTTTTATTTTTTTAAAAGTCTATATACTTACTTATGTTAATCTTCCGTCTCCATCCCTAGATCTAAATCTTTCAGTTCCATTTTAGGTTTTCTGGTCTTTATTCCTTTAGTTTTTCTGTTACTGACTTCTTTTGGGTTCTAGACCAGGGTTTTGTTTGATCTTTTCACTTTCCGGCTTGTTATTTGCCATTAACTTCTTTTTGAGTACTTTAGAGTACAAGATCCTTTCTTTCCAAGACAGAATAGAACTCCAAGTACGATATCGTTATTTGCAATTTGGATTTCTTTCTTGGTCAATATTAGTTATAATTGTAGTATCTAAAGTTCAACACTTTATTTTATTTTATTTTTTTTTCAGCTCTAATTCCACTTCGCCAATGATCTTCCAGGTGTTTTATTTCTATACTGGCATCTGACACATCATCTTTGGTATTAAATTCGTTGTAAGACCCTGTTTAAGTACTTTAACAAGGCTTTTCCAGTAGTGCTTCAACTGGAGTTTTGAAATTCAGATGAGCTTAGGGAGCGAAGCTAAGTATATTTTTTCGAAAACTTTGTTCTTTTTTATCTCTTCTTCTTTCGGTTGGGGATGAGGTTCTGGAAAGATAAGTATTGCTTGTGTGTTTTTTTTTTTTTTTTTTTTTTTTCCACAGTTGATGTAAATCTTAAACCTTTATATTTTCATCATGTAAATCACGATGAATCAATTCATGTGAATGAATTGATTCAAGACCAAAAGTGATATAATGCAATAAATTAGATCTATCTTTTCATTCTAGTTGTAATACTTTACAAAGATTATTATATAAAGAACCTTTTTGTACATATTACAAACCAATGACACATTTCCCAAATTTAGAATGTTTTGATATTTCAAGACATTGCAAGAATGAAGGATTTTCAGCTTATACTTTATAATACAGTTTTTTTTTTTTTTTTTTGACTTCTCTGTGAATTCTTGGATTATTGGATAAAGTATTGAAAACAAGTTGGGCAAGAGAAAAAAAAATAAAACTTAACTTGAAGGACTATGTTAAGTTGAGTATAAGGTGAAATTGGTATATTCTTTTACATGATATATGTCTTGCATTTTTTTTTTTTTTTAGTTCTTTAAAAAATCACTTAAGGCTAACAATATTCTTCTTTCTTTTGTATAGGCTAAAGACTGGTGAATTATTCTAAACTTTGGGGCTTAAGTTTACCTAATTCGAATTGCAAGATATAGAGTAGCCGGAATTTATAAATAAGGTCTCTTAAACCGTATAGTTCTCTTGCTTTTAGAGGCAAGGAATCCAGGTTAAATTGATGGCATTAGAAGTTCAAGTGCTAGATGTAAAGAAGTATGTGGAGTTGACTATAGAGTACAGAGGGTGATGTATTCTTTTTACAACTATGTGTCTTTGTTTTTTGCTTTTATTAACTTTATCCTACTAACATTCACTTTTAGGATATTAGATAGAAGTATGGGACGTAAAGTTGTCTAAGCGAAATATATAGAGTGTGACATATGAATTGGAGTATGAATATAAAGAACAGGTATAATTTGGGACATAGCTAGTTTTAGATTATAGGATGTAGCCATCTTCAGATTGAATTTTTTCGAGTAGGTGACCTGGGTCTTGTTGTCATTACCAAATGTAACTGAAATATTCGGTTATGGGTTGGGTTTAGATCTTTGTTAAAAGAGATTCAAAATAAAGAGACTTTTATTTAGATAGTTTTTAGGATATGATAGCAGATCATATCTCTTCAAGAGACCAATTTACATCTCTTTTATAATTCTTTTATGAATAACTAACTATTCTAAATAAATTTTTAAACTATTTACTGGCTCTGTTATACAAAACGATTTTATGCATAACAATTTATGCATAATAATCGTATGCGTAACAAATTATACATAACGAATTCATGCATAACAAAAATAATAACTAGCAAATAAATAAATAAATAAAGAAAAATCTATCCCTTAAACCGTCTAGCAGGCAAATTTGCTTGCTAAAATTATTTTTAAAAAGTTTTTTTTGAGTTTTTTTAAAATTTATTTAAACTTGACCCCCCCTATTTATTGAATAGAATTAAAGATATTCCTTTTATATATAATATACTTAAATTTTATCATTCCATCTTTAATTTTGATAAAGATAT